GGGCAAAGGTTGGCAGCTTTCTGCTTCCAGGCTACTGAAGTACCAGAGCTGAAATCGCTGAGTGGTGGCTACCGCGCTGAAGCTCCACGCGAAAGCGCGAGTGCTGTGAAGAGTGATGCAGAATCTTGGTGTTTGCTCTTCCCAAATTCTTCAGCAAATGAAGCATTTCAGCATCACTGGCTGATAGGGCATGCAGTTTCCGTGGACATCTTGAAAGAAATCGGAGAAAAACGAGGTCTGAAGTGCAGAATGAGCGCACTCTTACATGAGCACTTTCCTGCACCGTGCATTGGCCTTGCCAACACCTAATCACCTTTCTAGAAAACACATGTCCATCTTGCTGGGTGTAGTAGGGAGTAAGGATACCTGATTTACCCTGAAGTTAGCCAACTAATGCACTAGAAGCAGCCCAGCAGCAAGAGGTCTGCATCATCTGATTTGCTCCTGTTACTTGTTGTATAATGGAACAAAACAGTTCCGCTCCCTTGAGAAAAATTGCAAAGAGGACTTCACTGTGGAGGTCAGGTTACACTCTGCAAAGAGAAGCTGCATTCAAAATACATATTAAAGGCAATTTTAAAGGATAAAGAAAGATTCTAGTCCAGTGATACAGGCTCTCCAAAAAGGGAAGGGAAGGGAAGGGAAGGGAAGGGAAGGGGAGGGAAGGGAAGGGAAGGGAAGGGAAGGGAAGGGCCATGCTAGCAAATCAAAAAGCAGCCTTCTGGGAAGAGAAAATTGAAAGAAAAAGCTTTTCCGGACATCTCTTTTCAGTGCAAGTCACTAAGGAAGGAACAAATCTGGGCCACCTTAGTGCAAGCAGACTAGGATGCCAGGTCTAGGAGAACAACAGTCTGTTTTCTGTTAGGTGTTCAAACTAAACAGTAGCAACCAAAATTTTGATTTTCATTACTAAAAACAGCTCATGAAGATTGTGCATGAAGCTTGTTTTATTCTTCTCTGTGTTGTCTTTCTGACCTATTGAGTGAGAATTTTATGAATCAAAAACCTATAAAGAGATTTTTTTCAAACTGTGAAGAAAACAGGCACAAATCAGGAATTTCAGGACCTCATAGTATGAACTATACTCACTTCTCTTGATGGAAATTGAAAACAAATCACTTCTTTGCCAATGTAAATTGAAATATAGCTCTTCTATATTGCTCACTCTTACTTGCTTATCAGTTACTAGGTATCACATCACTGAAGGCAGGGGAGTCCAACTTGGTGTCATTTTAGAGGTAGGACTGGGTTTGGGTTGGTTTGTTTTGTGGTAGATGGAGAGAAGGACTGAAGGATCTTTGAAAAAGCTGCCCATAAGCTCCTCCCCTCCCCACCTGTCCAATTTTTAAAAGTATGTTTAGGACTCCAGCCACCAGCCTAACACTCCCCAAATCCCATATCCCTGCAGTGCTGCCATCATGGCTGGACTAGTTGGTCCCCACCTGTCCAATTTTTAAAAGTATATTTAGGACTCCAGCCACCAGCCTAACGCTCCCCAAATCAGAAAACCAAATCCCATATCCCTGCACTGCTGCCGTCATGGCTGGACTAGTTGAGTTTGGCTTTGCCACCATGCTGCATTATAAATGTATTTTCCTTAATTCCTCTAGCTCCTCTTGCATGCTCTGGACTGAAAGCCCAAGCCCCACTGGTCTGGCCCTTGTTTGCACCCCAAGGTTTACCTCCAGCCCCGAAGAACAAAATCAAATTAATCCGCACACACAAATTGCCCTCAGTGAATTAGCACCCAGGCTCTGCAGAGATGCGCCAACGCGACCAGCACGTGGAACACGTGGCCAGCAGGGCCTGTGCGAGCCCTCGCTGGAGCTCCAGAGCAAAAGGATTCCCACTCGCCACTTGGTTTGGTTCTCCTTCCCCTCCGCCCTTTTATTTTTCCTATTTATGCAGTGCTTCAGATTAAAAAGAAGCCCGTCCTCCCAGCTTAGTAGGGCTTGTTGCAGAACCAGGCCCGCCAACAAGAAAAGACTCTGCTCAGGGGTACTCACCAGCTTTGGGAGGAAAACAACCGGGGAAAAACTAGAAGTGCCGGTGACAGCCAGGAGGTGGCAGAGGAGCGAGGCCACCTTGTTCGCTGGGCTCTGCATTTCTGCATGGCAAGAAGGCCCCACCGCAGCCCCCAGAGAACACAGCCCAGCGCCACCTTCCTTGGCAGAGAGTGCGGTGGCACCCGTGAGCACGTCCCTGCTTGCATTCACACTAATTGCTCATCTTCCTGAGCACTGACTTTATGGAATTATGCATGCCCAGCAAGCAGATGAGTTTCCATAGAAACTCAGGAACTGAACTTTCATTAGAAAAAATCTTTTTAAGAAAAAAAAAAGTCTTCCAGATAAAAATGCAAATTGCCTGTCAGTGGGTGGCTTTCTGAATTTATATATAATTTTTTTTCCCTTTGCACCGTAGGCAGATTCCAGCTGGACCTACATAGCAACGACACGCAGGCATTGTTTATAGCTAGCCAGACTCCATGGGGAAATAAGAAATTCAGTAGCAAGGAGCAGCACTCAAGTGCAAATACCTCCGGGAAACAAAAAGTGGAGTGTTCAGCGGTGCCCGCTGGCGTAGGCTGCAGCTCGCAGGAGCCGCGGGTGCTCGGCCAGCGGGGGAGCCTGGCCACGGCCGCTGCGGTGGCGCAGCCCCAGCGCGAGCCCCTCCGGCAGCAAGTGCCTCCCTGCGTGCGTTTCTCCCCCAGAATGAACCAAATGTATCTGCTCGTCCAGTAGTTTGCAGTCAGCAGAGTCTCTCTGCTGGCTTTGGGGCACACGAGCTGCCCTTTCTGGGGTTCACGGATGGGCACGCGCGCCAGCACCCCACAGCGCCCACGTACGCATGGGCTACCCTTGTCCCTGCCCCAGGTGCCCGGCCCGCCTGCCTTGGGGGCTCCCCAGCCACCAGGGAGCAGGATCCTCCCCGCTCGTCAGAGGGGCCGGGAGTTTTAGGAAGAGCAGTTTTGTGGTTGGGGCCCAGTGTTGGTCTGAGAGCTCACCTCTGTTCTGGACTCCACGGCAGACTCGCTGCAGCCGCGTCTCTCACCCTTTCTCTTCCTCATTATCCCTGTCAAGCTGGTGACTCCCACTCTGATTGCCCACATTCCTCCCAGTCTGCTCCTACACGCTCCCACTCGTCTCCAAGCAGCTACGTCCACACCAAGCTCTCCCTGTGGAGAGCCTGTGTCTGAACACCGGGGAAAGAGCAAGGTTAGGCCTGTTGCCTCATCATTTTTCAACAGAAAGTTAAACCTAGAGGAAAAAACATCTGCATCTTTCTGTAATCAGATGTGGTATTGAATTGATAGCCCGGTCAAAGTTACGTGCAAGGAGGAGCCACCTTTATTTGAATAATCACATCCTTCTTAACCCTTCTCTGGCAAAGTAATGTATTTTTGTAGTTATTAGTAACATCATGGCTGTATTTTCTTACAAAAAGGTTTCCAATACATGGCATGTATTTATTGTGGGCTGGTATTATACATGGCATGCTTTATTGTGGGCTAATATTGTACTATGGACTGTTCTGGTATGGAAACCTTTAATTGCTGGGCATCTTGCCTGAGAAGGGAGTGGAAACAGCACATTAATACGCTGGGATCCCCCACCCAGCATGGACAAGGGCTGTTGGCTTTGCAGAGAACGTGGACATCTTAGATATGAGCCTCATGCATTGCATGATGTTGATCCTAGGAGTGCGACCCTCATGAAGGTCACACCGTCAATTACTCGTGTTGCAGTGATGGTCCTGACAAAGTAGCAGGTGCTGAGTGGGCTCTGCTGGGGTCCCTCACCCCGTAGAAGAGCTCTTTAAGCTCGTCCTGCCAAAGGGTCCCTAGAAGGGTGCCCTGCTGTAGGTGCTGGAATACGGGAGGTTTGACACGCTAATGGCCATGGGCCGGGCCCAGGCAGGCACCATGAACATGTTGGTGCTTCCTGAGGCCACAGCTGGTGTCACCCGTCAGCAAGATCTGCAGCGCTGGCAAGAGGCTGGTCCCGGTGTGCGCCCGCCGAGGAGGGAGCGGGACACGGGCACCCGCAGCGCGTGGCACGCAGAGCCCAGGGCACTCGCCTGCTGCGCAGTGAAAAGGGAGCCGGGCTCGTTAGGTGCTCTGTGGGTTCAGGCGCATCCATGCGAGCCCTATAGGAAAACATGTTCTTCCTACCACTTCTTTCATCCTCCCCCTCCTGTTCCTTCCAGATGGTTACACCCACTTGTGTCTTTTCTTACCCTAAGGACAGCTTTTTAAGCAAGAATTCTTCATCCTTCTCCTCCCCCACAAAGCTCTAGGCTTTACATGGAGTGCAAATAGCACTTGGACAGAGTGTGCTGATGCTGTTGCATACACTCAGCCCTGGCATACAGTTCGAGGCCTGGAGGGGACCTCACCCCCCTAACTATGCTATTTTTTTCAAAAGGAAAGATCTTTCAATTGGAATGTCAAGACCTAGGATCAGAGAGACTTAACTCAGACCCAGCTGGATGTACTGGACACACAAGAGAATGTAGATACTTGGAATAATTGAACCTGTGTGTATTTTCCTGTGGATTAAAAGCACATGTAAGCCTCTGAGAGTGGGATGCTCCAAGGGCGCTCTTATTAGCATCCCACAGCACCAGTATGTGCTTTCCCAGTAACATACAGCTGGAGCATTTGCAGGGCAGGATCAGTCAAAAAAAGAAAAAATGCAGAAAAAAATCACAAATGCTCCTCTAAAATATATACCATAATCAAACAAAAAGCATACATTAGTAGCCAATAGCTTCTCTTCACCATAAATAACAGAACTCTCTCTTAGGACTATGATATCTGCTCTTTTTCTGTCTACCTAGACTGTCAGGAGCTTTTGTGGAGACTCTCAGTCTTTCTGTTGAGACTCTCAGGTCAGTGGAGAACGGCTGTCCTGGTCTGAAATGCAACAGGAGGGCGGCTGGGGAGAGAGTCTCTGCTTTGCGCCGTTGTTAACCACTCATCGCTTGTTCACGGACAGGGCCCGGTGCTGAGCAGGCTCGGGAGGAAGGACCTGGCGCAGAAGGTGCTGCGGGACGCCGTGCGGACACACAACACCAGCCACAGGGCCTGGAACAGCCTCGGGGAAGTCCTGCAAGCGCAGGGCAAAAACGAGGCAGCCGCGGAGTGCTTCCTCACCGCCCTGGACCTCGAATCCAGCAGTCCTGTCATCCCGTTCACTGTCATACCCCGGGAACTTTGAAGCCTCGCCCTTCAGCTAAGCATCTGCACTCAAAGGACAGGCACCAAAGAAACAAAATAACCACAACCACAGAGAAGAAACTCTGGATTCACCAGACAAGTGCCATTGTAACCTGGAATTGAGCAAAACCATTCCAGGATGGGGCTCAGGTCTACATGCTTAGCTGAGAAAAGCCCAACTTTAGGACAATATGCAACGGGCAGGAAAAAAAAATGCCTGCTTTTGCTTCACAGATGCCTGTTCAAGTTACCAGCAGGAGTGTTGGTTCAAGGTGACTGACTGTAGAATAGTTGATGCTGGAGTGTAGCTGTTCAAAGCACTTGCACCTTTCAATTTTTATTAACATTGAAATGCCCAGACACTGAGTTAAAGCTCAGGCCTGCTCTAAGCAGGAGTAAATGCACCAACTAACTTGAACCAAGATGTGCTTAAGTATGTGATTGTCTCCACATGGATCTGATAGGATAGATAGGAATGACTATTAGACTATATAGACAAGTAATATATACTGTTTACAAAATTATTTCAGCTATTTTGATAATCCTTTTTCTTTCCTTTTTCTTATATATTGCATATACTTGCTATATTTAGTGTGGCGCTTGCCTAAACCAATTTAAGTTAAAAATACCTTTCTTTTTTTTTTAAAGCTGCTATTGGAGCATGATTTGCAGGAGAAGGAAGACCAAAGACTATCAGTTCACATTTGGACTAGTATTAAAGACACACACACACGTATGTGTATCTCTCCAAATACATATTTATTGTGAGGACTTTCATGAACTAGCTAGTTAATTACAAACTGCCTGAGCTTCAATCTTACCCATCACACTTTCCAGCACTTTTAGTTTGGAATATCAATATAAACTGCCTGAACTCTGTGCTTTATTTCACTGCTGTTCCGGGCCCAAAAAATCCCATCTTCTCATGACATAAAAGATGGCAGCAGTTTTCTAAGGCAAAATATGCTGAAAGCAGTATGTGTACATATGAATTACCTTTATTTTTTACTGTACCTTGGCTTTTCTATAGAAATTTTATGTTAATGGTACCAAGCTGGAGCCTTTGGTAGGGCGGGATCATTTTGTGGGCCATATCAGCTGCAAGAGTGATCTCCAGGGCCATCTGAGGAGCCCTAATCCACTCGCCCTCCCAACTGCTGGCATTGCAGGAGAGGGGACACAGCTGGCATGCCCCATGCTAAGCTGATCCGTGGTTCTGTCTGACCTCAGCGTGGCCTTTGCAGCAACGTGGAGCTGTAACATGACACACGAGAACCAGCCCTGCGCAGAGCAGGCCCAAGACGAAGGTGGTGGTGCAAAAATGAGTGGTGGGTGCCTCTGTGGCAAAGGTTTGCTGCCGAGCACCCGTTTCCATCCAGAGGAGATTCCTGCCAGTGCACTCTTTCTCACTCTTTCATAAGTGGATTTTTGCACTAAAATATGCCCAACAGTGTAACTCTACCAAGGATTGCCATCTGCAACTAGATCATTCCAGAACTGTTATCTTCAGGCCAGTCGGGTTTGTGTGGCGCCGCGAGCGCGGCCGCCTCGCGCTCCGCTCTGCCGGGGCGGCCGGCCGCCCGGAGCCCTGTTTCCAAGGGAACGGCGCTTCCAGCCGCATTGCTCAGTGCGACAGCAGCAGCACCCGGCGAGGAGGAGGTGTCGAGGAGCAGAGTTACATGAGCCTCGTGGAGAGGAAAAGATGCAGCAGAGACCCGTTTCCTGTGGATGGTGCCGGCTCTGCAGTGCAGGTGGGAGAAGAGAGAGGTTTTCACATAAACTGTAGATTGTTATCTGGATGTCTTGGACCCATTTGCTTCACCAGACATTTTTAGAGCTATTCCGATACTCGCTGCGGTCCACAAGCACCACTTCCAGAATGGGAACAAGCCCTCTGTATAAGACACTAAAAAAAGACAGTGGCAATGCCCCAACCTCACCATTTCCTTGTGTTACTTGTGTCTGCAGAGCACTGCCGGAGTCGCGTCCAGGTGGAGACCTGCAGCTCAGGCTGCGCATCCCTCTCTGAGCAGCCACTTCAGGAGGTGGGTGACTCGGCTGGCAGGAAGGTGCCTGTTTCCCAAGCAGCGAGGGAGAAGGCACCGCTCACACTGCCCGGGGGGCACGAAGCGCCCAAGGGCACTGATGTGTTTCTGTGTTCTCTTTTTAATACTTAGGGTTTATAGCCTGAGATTATGTTGTCCTAAATACTCTGCACAGGGCAGGAAAGAGGGCAGTCATTACAGATTTGCAAGTATTCTTTCCATTGGCAAGTATTCTTTTGGTAAATCCTCTCTACTTGCTGCTAGTGCTACCCAGAGTTCTTCCCAAGCTTGCATGCTACTGTGCTCGTAAGTATGTATTTTGTCCTTCCAAATTCAGAAAAAAAAAATACAAAGATGACTACAACAAACTCGCAAGTCTAAAATATACAAATGTATGTGCAACAAACTCGCAAGTCTAAAATATACAGTATGTACTGTAGCATTGCATTATATCCCTGTGCTGATAAAGCCAACAGACCCACTTCCTTGAGCTCATTAAGCAATAGTTTTGTATAGCAGGAAGCCCCCAGGCTTAATTAAGCCACAGTCTTAGACCGAGAACTTCACATTTACATCCTATCATCCCCCTTGTGAGCGTTATAGATGCTCATAAGCAATGGAAGTCCAGGGGACAATAGTACAAAACCCCCAAATCAGTATTTCACCTCCCTGAGTGCAACAAGGTATTCCTCTATAATTTTAGAAAGGAGGAGGAGAAAAATGCATCTCTGCTTGAGAGAGCCACGCATGCCCAGGTTCCTTCCAGTTAACCGCAGGGTTATTTTCCTTTGAGTCATCAGGGTGCGTACAAAGGGAAAATAATTAGCTCCTATTTTTGCTGCTGCCCAGCACAGGAGCAGTGCTCGCTGTCCCCTCAAACCCCAGGACGTTCGTGCACGGCCGCAAAGCCCGGCCTACAGGGAGCTCCGCGGAGGGCTCCGCATCTCCCGCGGGGCTCCCGCTCCGCACGCGCAGCAGCCCCGCACACGCAGTGGCCCCGTGTCCCAGCCACTTCTGCGGAGAACAGTTCAGGCTACTGATTACCGCAGCCTTTCGGAAGCGCTAATTATCTTTTCTTGGTAATCACTAATAAATCCAAATGGAGAGCAGTTCTGGAGGGTGTTTACTTTAGAACTCACTGGCTGGGTACCAAAGCAGGCACAGTGCTGACTGCCGAGGTTTGCCTTGCAGAATTATTGTATCCAAACCAAGTCCCATTTTCAGAGAGCCTTGCCTGTTTTATGCTGCTTTTTAATCATGGCAGAGTGGGAACCGTAGCCTTTTTTTCAGCTCAAAGGGGTCACTGCCGTGATCTTTTTTCAGCCAAACCAGCTGAGATTTGATACTCGCCATCTGGCCCGGCGCAGTGAGGTGGCTGCCCTGGCTGCAGCTGCGCCGTGGGCACGGTCGGCAGGTGGGCGACGAGCCCGAGCAGCCGCGCGAGGAGCTTCTCGCCCCGGCCCGTCCCCACGCGTGTCCCCGCCACGGCTCCCCGTGCTGCTGCGGGGCTGTTCTGCCTCGCAGAGGGCTGGCGAGCGGGGGCATAGACACCTATGTGTTAGAAATGGGAAGTGGCAACGTTCATCGCTGGCGAGTGGGAAGTCGCCACTTGCCAGCAGCAGCCCCCGTCACTCCTCTGACTTCACTCTTGCAAACCTTTAGCTCCTGCAACCCAGCGCACGGTACCGAACAGCCTGATACCAAAGGATGCAGCTCATTTCCCATCCGAGGGCACCTCTTGGCAGAGAAACACGTGCTGTTTTGCAGCCCAACCTGCCAGAAGGGCCGGTGACCCCGCACCGCGGTGGCGGGATGCGGCGTGCGTGCGGCACTCACGTCCTCGCCTCTGCACGGGCGTCTCGTACTCAACCCTGCCGCTGAATACCACTAACGGGGGGTCACCGGGATCATTTTTCTATGTAACTTAATGTATTTTTTTCTTGTAAGATGTTTTCATCAGATGAATAAATTGACCCTATGGAAAAAAAAAAAAAAAGGAAATGCTCTTCATGCATTGTCGTTTCCTGCCAATTTTGGTACTTTTAATGTATTCATGCCACAGATATTTCAAGCATTATGAAACTGCTATTTGTTATATTAACTGTAACCCAGTGTGCCTAGCAAGCTACCAGTTGCAAAGGGTATTTTGGCCTCCACTCTTGTAGTTCATGGGAAAAAAGCGTGAGCGAGTATGCGAGCAGCATGCTTTAAGAGAGGAACAGAGCCAGGAAAAAGGAGCAAATGTAGCCTCAGATGCTTGGATTTATGGGGAATTTAAGCAAGCATCTTACTTTTCTTGTACTATTTCCACTAAAAATAAACAAAAGATAGTGTGAGAAACACTATCGTCAAGTAATGCGCAACTACTATGCCATCAAATTTATGGACTCACCTTATTTTGTCCACAACATCATTAATCACCTCTTTTTACAAACAGCTACTCCTGTGGTTATTTGGAATTAAACATTTTCATTCAAGAGCTTCCAGAGAATTCTTAGCATTTACACGTTAATCTTCTGGGCAAGTTTCAAGAGGGCCTTCTTAAAAAGCCAGACCCTAAGTTTCATACCTGAATGGCATCAGGCAGAGGGTTCTTGAAGAGCGTTTCTTGGTAATTGTTGTGGCTGGTTTGGATTATGAGTGCATCACTATCACTCAAGCAGAACGTGATTCCTCTGCAGCAGTAGCAGAACTGAGTCCTTCAGCAGATGCTGCCAAGTCCTAAAACCTGGAAAATGGAAGCACACAGCAACACTTGGCCCCTCGCTCCTCCCACGAGACCTGCTCACAGGCAACGAGCAGCAGCTGCTCTGGGGCTGAGGGACGAGCAGGGCCGTCGAGGCTCTCCTGAACCCAAGGGCAACTGAACCCAGACTGAAGCTGCGGAATTTTATTGTTCAGTTCCCCCCGGGAGCACTCGGCAGGGAAAGGAAAACAGGCTTGACAGCTCCTCTGCTTCCGTGCTAGCCACAGTGCAGTGCTTCTTGTTCTGCCGGCGTT